GCATTAACATGTAGTTATTAATAATCTGGCTGATAGTATTTTGGTTGGCAATTATTTTAATTGTACAAGACAAATGGCTAGTCTGCTCAATAATGCACCTATAACCCCTGCTAGGGTCAGGGACTCCCGCAGCAATACGCGTGGGCGCAAATTATTACCGCTAGTGGGGAAACAAGTGGACAACTCAGCTCAGACTCAGACTCCCATCATGCTACTATTGCAGCCCTGTCAGGGACCAGGGAGATTAATCAGTGCCAGGCAGGCCAACCCGGGGAGCAGAGTACCATGGTGATTGGCCCTCAGCAGGAGGCCCTCAGGGGCCACCCACAGGCAATAAATTCACATTTACCAGCTGGCGAACAGAACGGCTGCCCTGGCCATACATCAGATGACAGCATGTCACAGGGTGAGCAGGGACAAGGCATAGGCGCAGGGTCCCCGGTAGTGGATCACAGCAAGGGCAGGCAAGTAGGCGATAGAAATAGCGGTGATAGGCGACCGGTCACTTCAGATAGGTGTAGCCGGTGTCGTTACAGTGTTTCCAGGTCAGCTAGGAGGAGCCCCCGTAAACAATTGCGTACTAATGGCGTCCATTTAAATCATGGCAGCTCGCGCAGGGCAGAAAGCGGAAGAAGGACAAAGCCAACTAGGATTAAACGTGTAGGGGCCTCTACAAACAGACTACCCACGCGTGCTTCTTCTTTCAGGGATCCTGATCCATTGAAGGCAGCGCTTGAAAGGTGCCAGGAAACAAGGAACAGGTGCAAGGAACATCACGGGATGCTTCGGACTCTCTGGGAGTTGACGGAAGGACGTCTCCCCTGAGGTCTGATATGTCCGGGGGTCACAGTGGTGAGTCACCATTTACACCAAACACGGGAGCTGCATCTTCCCCGTCAGCATCCAGAAGAAAGGATCCTGTTGGCTTTACAATGAGGGACATTGCAAGTGGGGGCCACGTGCAAGTTCAAACACGAGTGCTCTGGATGTGGGGGAGCCCACGGCTATCTCAAGTGCTTCAAATGAGGTAAGTCTACACAGGGAGGAAGCGGGGGGAGGGGCATTTGCAGCCCAGCCCTCTTCAGCTGGGGCAGTGGCGTACACACAATCCATGGGGCCCCAGTGTGAAACTGATCCATGGGCCCCTACTTCCCACCTCCTCTTTCATTCCCCCCTCCCTCTTCCTCCACTCTCCCTCTTCCCCCTCTCTCCTCCCCCGACAGACACACACACATACATACACACATACACACAGACACATATATACAGACACACACACACACACACACACACACACAGACACATACATACAGACCGACACACACACAAACACAGACAGACACACACACACACAAACACAGACAGACACACATACATACAAAGACACATACATACAAATAGACAGGCACACATACATACAGACACACAGACATACAGACACACACACACAGACACATACATACAGACCGACACACACACAAACACAGACAGACACACACACACAAACACAGACAGACACACATACATACAAATACACATACATACAAATAGACGGGCACACATACATACAGACACACAGACAGACACATACATACAGACTGTCACATCCTGCTCTGTTCTGTGGAGATGTCTGGCCTTGGCTTCTGGTATCCAGTACTCTTTTTACAATTCTTGTTTAGTTTTTCTTTGTTTTCTGGTTTTCTATTCTATGTCTGGTTTTCTTTATGCTGGGTTTTCTGGGTTAATTCTTATATTCTGTACCTGGATTTCCCAGTCGCTTGGATTCATTTAAATGTTTGTTTTATGTTGCCGGACCCGTTTGTTTTCCATCATTCCTTTTGTTTCAGTGTCCTGCAGGCAGCTGCTCAAGGCTTCTGCCCTTTCTTGCAGGTAAGTACTATGTGTGTCTTCTTTGGTTGGTTTAGCTTGCATTAGGCAGCGTAGGACCTGCCAGATATTGGCGTTGTTGGCAGGCTTATGCAATGTATGATCATATAATGTAACTAAATCCCCATACTTTTCATATATAGTTGTGGCGAAACCGGCCTCGCCACGTGTCCTTTGTGGGGGGTGCTTGCCCGCCTCTTGCCTTTGGACTATGGACCAGACTTTATGTGAATGTGTTAACCCAGATAGCTATGCCATGGAGCCCATTCGTGTAGTTAAAGACTTCGGCTCCATGGCAATTGAACTGTGTGAATAGGATCTGAGCGCTATTCGGTAGTTTTGTGCGCTCAGATCCCAGCTATCTGGGGATATGTGACATGTCTGTGTTTTATGTATAAAATGTGACTTTGTGTATTTTATAATATTTTAATGCTTTGTGCTCACCATGTGCATAATGGAGTCTTGTGTCTGTCCTGGGAGATAATTGAATTACTTCTCAATTCAATCTCCAGGATAGAAGACTCTGAAACTGGTTTGGGCCGGAAAGCCATGCTTCATTTAGTCACAAAGGACTTTCCCTTAACTTTTGAACCCCTGGTCTGATTCGTGCCATTTTTTAATATGTTGTTCCCCTGAATGGATTGATTATGAAAATTTATGTTTTATGTTTGTGACATGTATATTTTAGAAGTTATAAATATTGTGTAAAAACTGTATTCCTCTGCCGGTGATAATGAGATTACCCATTGTGTTCAGTAATCATATCACAGCAGAGGGGAGGATTTTGTGTGGGAGTGTCTGGGTGTATTGTACGGATTGATTGGTTGTTTTGTAACGCCCTGTGGGCTGTACTATGTTTGTGGATTGGGAATAAAAGAGACTGTATGTGACAGTACAGGGAGTTCCTGCTTAACCCTCAAAGTGAAGTGTCGTCTCATTATTGGGGGAAGGATTTATTGTATGCTGTTCCAGTTTGACTGCTAGGAGAGTAAACTTATTCGTATGGTTCCTATTCAACTGTCTACAGCATTCATATGCTTGAGAGGATTCATATGCTTCTCCGGTTCGGTGGTTGTGGTGTCTGCTGCAGTGCTTGGAGTCCTCAGGAAGCGCTAAGAGCATCCTTTAACGGAGGTACCCAGTCGGGGTGCCAGGTGATCCGTTACAATAGTACTTAGTTATGTCTCCTCTTGTTTTACCTTGTATCTCTTGTCTTGTTTTACTTTGTCTTGTATTCCCAGTTCATGTACAGTCCTGTCCTGCCCTGTTCTTGTTTTCCTCATGTCTCGTGTACATGTTCTGGGTTCTACTTTCTGTCCTGCTCCGGTTCTGGGTTCTCCTAGTTCTGTCTTGTTTTTCATATTTGGTGCCTATCTCTAGTCTTGCATTATTTCTGTACTGGATACATTCATGCTGCAGTACCTCCCTATTGAGCTCTGGGAGGTCTGCTTAATTTCTGCTCCTAGTTCCTGGGATCCGCTGTAGCTGTATCAGGGACCTGGTATGTGGCTGCACAAACGCTGGTGCTCAATACCAGAGGCGTGTGGTTACCCTGCACCAGGCCCTGCTAATCCACCTCCACACTGTGACTCCTACTCATATCATCAGGCATACTGGGTCCCGGTCCATGCACCGCCGCCCGGACAGTGTCTGGGTCCCGGGCACCGGACCGCCACCCTGACACAGACACACACACATACTGACAGACAGACACACACATACAGACAGACACACAGACATATACATACAGGCAGACACACACACACAAGACACATACATACATACAAACAGACAAGCACAGATACAGACAGACACATACACAGACACACATACACAATCATACAGACACAGCGGGGGTTCTGTGGTTCACTACTTAGACAATTTTTTTTTTGCATTGGGCCCGCGGGATCGGGAAAATGCAGTTACATACTGCGTTCCTTGGAGTGGGTGACGCAACTATTTGGGGTGCCTTTGGCAGCTAAAAAGACGGTTGGCCCAACGACTTGCCTCAGTTTCTTAGGTCTAGAAATTGATTCGGTGGCTGCCGAGTGTCGCTGACCGGTGGACAAGCTAGCCACCCATCGTCAAAAGTAGGGTCGGCTCGGAGCTCGTGCAAAGTAACGCTGCAGGAATTGCAGTCGCTGTTGGGAAGCCTTAATTTCGCGTGATCCCAATGTGGAGGGTTTTCAATCGATTTTTGGCAGTGGTGTGCAGCACAGTGGCCCTTAGAATGGCTATGGAACGTGGTGATGGGTAACATAGCTTTTCTCGAGTTGTTTCCGTTAGTGGTTGCCTTGTCATTATGGGGCGATGAACTGAAAAATAAAAGGGTAGTATTTTTCATGGATAATATGGCCGTAGTTCATGCCGTTACCAATTTGTCGGGCTGCTCTGTTCCCGTGGTGCGATTGCTCAAGCATTTGGTGATGTTGTGCATGCCATGGAACATTGTTTTTAGGGCACTCAAGGGTTTTCGGAAGGGTAAGATCAGTAGATAAAAGACGTTCGGTAACTTTTGAGGTCCTGCATCGATTGGTGGGGGTGTTACCTACAGTTTGTTTTTTGCTTTTCAAAGTGGTGCTGTTCACAGTTGCCTTCATATGGGCCTTTTTCGGGGCATTTAGGGTTGGAGTGCTGGTTAGTAGGAGTCGTAAAATTGCAGTGGGGATTCAGCTAGCGGATGTCGAGATGTCTCAGGATAGAGTATGGATTCCTGGTCACGCTGTTTTCTCTGAAAGGGTCAGCTTTATGCCCGGTATCTTCTGACATTGCATTTATGAGGGATTGCTCTGATGGGGCAGGTTAGTTTTTGGTTCATGAGAACGGATCTTCTCTATCGCGCTTTCAGTTTATTTAAGTATTTAGATTGGGTTTATGGTTTGAATCCCTTAGAGTATGGGACCCAATCCTTCCGGATTGGGAATGCAACAGAAGCATCTCGCCTAGGGCTTGGGGACAAGTTGGTAAAATGTATAGGATGATGGGAATCGATCAGATTTCGTTCGTACGTGTGTTCTCAGCTGATTTGTTAAAGGGGGGGTTTGTATCACAATGGTCACATTTCTTGTTCTCTTTACAGGTTGGATAGCATGTTTGATTGGCCACTCCGTCATCTATTGGGCAAGCAGGAAAACAGCTGTTCAGAAACAGAAGAGGAACGTGGACCGGATTAGGGAAATGGTTCCTGATGTGGTTGTGGTGTGGTTCCTCGGCTACATTGGAGTCATACTAGAGACCTTGCTGCGGTGGCATGTTGTAGGGGAAAGGTCAACAAGACAATGTCAGCTTTCATACGGCGGACGGGAGGGGTACTGGTGAAACATAGGTGTCACGATTCGCACTGTGCCATCCAGATGGCCAGGCATGGCCATTTCACAAGTGCCAGACAGAGCCTTTGAACTGTGGTCCTTCTGTGCCGTAGTCCTGCTGTCTTGCCTTGGAGCCACACTCCAGTTTTTGTTTCAGCCTAATGTTTATCCTCACCTTGTCTCCAGCATTGGGGGCTGGACTTTACCTGTGGCTGCTGCTGTCTATCTAAGCCCACCTGAAGCAGATCATTAATTAGCTGGGTATATAAGCACTGCCTCGCCCTGGGAACTTTGTTAGTTTATTGACTCTGGTTCACGTTATTGGTTCCTGATACTGTGTGCCCTGATTGTGTGTTCTCCAGATTGATTCCGGTTCCTGACCTTGGCTTTTCTCATCGTTTCCTCTGACCTCTGTAATTACCTGACTTAGGCTATACAGTGACTTCTCTTCTTCTTGTGTCCTTGCCTGTCCTGCAATTCGGAGCACTTTACCTGCACAGCCCCCGTGCACAAACTCACAGCCCAGGTGGCTTCTTATCTGGTCACCTTGGTCTGTGCTTATTTGCAGGGGTGAGCATATAACTCTGCACATCGAACTCCACATCAGGTAAGATCCTGACAATAGGTAACTAGAGGGAATTCTGCCAGGCTATTATAGGTCGGATGGAGTGCATCTCTCAGATGTTGGTTATGACATACTTAAGCTTAGGTTCCATGAGGGCATCAGCAAGGCCTTATTTCTGCTGGGTGGGGGCGCTCAGGTGGCTTGAGGTGGTCAAGACCTGAGCTGTGGCTGGGTACAGTGAATTTAATTACGTGCATGGTTAGGTTGAGTGGAAAATACTCACGGGGGTTACAGTGGTTTGGTAGGTTTGAGCTCGTCAGTGGCTCCGAACCTGTGTGTGTAGGGGTGTCACGTATACCCCTACGGTTGGTCATATATTAGAAAGCATGCCACTTGGTTGGTGTGTTATGTGTTATGTAATTATGTACTGTTATATCATGGTTTATATGTTTATGTGTGGGTTATTTCCTGGGTTAATTACAGGTGGGGGGTGGGGAACGGGGTGGAAGGATGTTTATGTAACAGGTTGGTGGGGGCAATGACCTTATGTTTATAATATGTGTTTTTAATAAAGCTGTGCACATTTTGTTTTCAATTTTAAAATGTAGTCTGCGTTTTAATGGGTAAAGTTAAGCTGGATATGCCAAAAAGGCAACTATGTGCATGTCAAGTTTTTTAATAAGAAACCAGAACGCCCATACAGCAATTGTTTAATCTCCTCTTAACTATATTTATTTTCTGACTCTTTCTCATGAATCATGTAGATCACGTAGTGTCTTCTTCTATCCGTTTGTGATATTTCAGTAATTCTTTTTTTAAAACAAAATACGGCAAAAGCATGTCTGGGGCATAGTCCCAAAATAAACAAATCTAACAATTTCTAATCAAATGCACAAGATCTCATTACAAACACTAAATTAAATTTGACTACATTTTTCTTTCTAGCCGTAGAAGAACTGGAACCAGTCCTTACTGTTTAGTTTTAGTCAGTGTTTCTTAGGATCTTAACAAGAATCGTCTGTCTAGTAATGCTGAATCTGTTGCGTGTCTCATGTGATGTATTATTTTTTATTGGGTACATGAAGAGCACTGCTACTTGTACTATGCTAATCGTCTGTGTTGCCCTTCTCGTCCAAGAGAATGTTTTTTCATAGACTTTACCAAATTCCTGCTGGTATTGTCCCCCTTTCCATGATGTAATGTTTTTAAACAAATAGAAGGCTTCCATATCAGGTCTCCCAATTCTTTTACCTGGTGCTCCCTTGCTGCAACTCCCTCCTAGTCTGTGGCGGCATTGTCACGGTGTATTACCCCAACACGCAGAGTTTAGGTTAGCCAGGGACAAGATAAGGATAAAACGTATTACCGGGCCTTAGAATGGTCAGACTAAATGTCAGACAGAGATAAAGTGTTATCAGAGACGTGCGAAAGTAGGAACTAGCCAGAAACAGGTACACGTTATCAGTCAGACAGGCAAACAAGACAAGGTCAATACCAGAATAAACACAATAGATCTAGGAATGCACTAAAGGGTACTGAAACAGAAACCACAACAGGGCAAAGTTGATAGGGGTAGGGAAGTTTAAATATCCTTAACTAACATTTGATTGGCCCACGTCATGCCTATACCCCCAAAATGTGCGTATGTGGGGGTGCCGGAATGATGTGGGCCAATGGGAGCCTGAATCTACTTTTGGCTCCCACTCCTAGTGCCAGGCGGGTCTACTACTGTCCTATGAGTATTTGCACAGGCATCACGTGAGCACTCGCTGGAATCCCTGGCGTGGCGAGCCAACTTATTGCGGTGGATAGATGGATGGTGTCTCATTCACAGTGGAAGTTTCACCGTGGCTCTCTCCTCCTCACCGTGACACATGGCCCACTCAGAAGGCAGAGACCCCACATGCCAGGGGCACGAGTTCAATGGGGGTGTGGCTTTGGGTATCGATAATGTGCAACCTATTGTGTCTCCTGTCCTGTACTGTGCTCTCAGTGTATACACATCTACCCAGCATACTATTGTCTCTCTGTTGTCTGACTTTTTTGCCTGTTTATTGTCTTTAAACCTGTCCTGCCTGACCTGAACTTTTGCTACTCCTGACTATGTCTACCTTGTCCCTATTGGTATCTCGCTTTGGTTCTTGTACAGTTTGTTTCTGTATTTGGGGCTCCTCCTGTCAAACTTGACATTCTAAAACTTCCGTTACTCCTCTTTGACAGGCAGATATTGAATTTTCATGGGTTCTTATGAAACATGAGTATTTCAGAGACCTCTAAACAACATCAATAACTGGCAAGATGAGTTAAAGCCTTAGAGATAGTTGAGTTGATTGTCGAGCCTGTAGTAACCATGCAAACATCACAGTTGCAGTGTTTATTCCTGTTAGTATCAAGCTTGCTATTATGGATTCTGAAGTTAAATAATAACACCCAGAATATTTTTAAAAGAAAATAGTCTCAGTGTATCCATCCTGGTAATTGGTGACCAATGTTGACTAATGTATTTTCAATTAGTAAAGAAAAATAGGGAATTGGAGGCACACCAGAAACATGCATCTTACAGGAATGGTGCTGCCGTAGAGACCAAAATGTCTACAAATGTACAACATTAATTTTGTGTTATATATATTCGCAATGCTCTTATATCAGATTGTTTTAATACTCTTTGGCTTATTCGGTACTAGCACTATTTAATTCGTATCCCATGTTGGAATTAGTTTAGGACCCACCAATATCGGGGTACTGTGAAGTAATGCTGCACTTAATACAATATGGCCAAATGGTGGAACTGAATCCCCATATGTGTTTGCTAAAAAAGGCGCTTGTAAGTAGCCTTGTAAAATATAAAGCTGTATTTGTATGTGTGTACTGTTATTTAGTCTTACTAAATAAAAAATGTAATTCGTCCATTCCGAATTTCATCCGTAAAACATTTGTTTTTCACAGGAAATTCGGTAAAAAAATAATTTGTTTTCGCCCATTAGGACAAAAAGAACACTGAGCATGCGAAAAAAAAAGGAAGGAGGGAGGGAGCCAACAGCGATCCCAGCTGCCTCCTTGTAATAAATATGAACAATTCCTACCCCCCTGCATTAAAACCTATGGGGGTCACTGTGACCCCTAATGTTAATAAAAGGGAGGTTAAATCCTTCCGCATGCCGCGAGTAGGGGCATGTCGCCTAAACAGGTTACTTGCAAGGCTCAAAAATTACCTATCAGAGCACTTTTATTGGTTGGCTTAAACCAACCAATCAGAGCACTCTGAGTCAAATTGCCGTGCCCTCGCTGGGTGAAGTTGGATTATTTTTTTAGCATCTGGATTATTTTTTTGCGTCTTTTTTTTTGCACTCTGGTTTTTTAAATTTATTTTACAAGTTCAATTATGTATTTTTATATTTGGCCTTTTTGGGGGCTGAAAAAAGGTTTTAGAAAAAAGAAGACATCTAATGGTAAGTATGACCTTTTTTTTATATGCACAGGTATTTTGTTTTTAATTTCCCCCCATACTGTTTTTAGGGTGAGGGGGTAGGTAGGAATAAACTTTATCTGAGGGGGGGATGACTAGGGGCTTGGGGACCCCTAATCACCTTGGGGGGTTACTTTTACATTTAGCCCCCACCCGCCACCCATGGGTGGGTGCCTGGGGGATGACAATAGGTCCCCCCTATTGTTATTTAGGGTCATGGTCATGGGTGGGGGCAGGGGGAGGACAATAGGTCCCCCCCTATTGTCACTAGGGCCCTCAACCACTGCTCATGGGTGGGGGCTGGCGGGGAGGAGGCAGTAGGTCCCCCATATGTCATTTTGGGCTTCCACCCACTGCTCAGGGGAGGGGGACAATAAGTCCCCCCTATTGTCACTAGGGCCCCCACCTGCTGCTCATGGGTGGGGGCATGGGGGAAAAGGTCCTTCCCCCTTATTGTCACTAGGTCCCCCACCCACCACTCATAGGTGGGGGCCAGGGGGGCAATAGGTCTCCCCCCCTATTGTCACTAGGGCCCCCACTGGCTGCTCACTGTTTGTAGACATGCCCCTTCAGTGCTGTGGGGGTTAATTCTCTTAAACGAAAGAACTGAAACGAAAAGGTAATGCATTCGGCATTTGCCCTTTAGTATCGTATATAATTCGTATGTAGGACTTAGGTTTATGTTATAGTAAACGGATACGAAAAAGTCAGAAAATTCATCTGACAGCGCTGACCGGGCCCCCTGGAAATCCATAGCCATCGAGTGGCCCTAACAGCATGGGCCACCCGATGGGCCCCTTCACGTGTTGCTGGAGCCGCAACACATGGCAGCAGGCACCTGGTCGCAGGGGTCCGTAGGGCGGCCGGGCCCCCAGGAGTGACGGGCCCGGTCGCAGCTGCGACTCCTTCATGTACGCCACTGCTTGTGCCTATAATTAACTACTTGTTCCATGTTTTCCCCACAATAATACTGGAAGAAAACAACCACACACTGGAACCCATAAACCATGCTAACATAAGGAACAAAGGACGTTTTCTTATAATGCAGAAAATGATTGACTTATTTGGACCCCCTCCTGTAGAACCAGTAACAAATATGAGTCAAGCAGGACTTCTAACTTGTACCAGTATGTCTACCTAGAGACTGCATTGCCAGTAACCGCTAATCTAAGATTAATAAC